ATTGCTAGGAAGGTGGTATTCTCCCCCCCCCTTTGTTTTTTGTTTTGTTTTGTTTTTGCATGGCTGGCTACTGTGTTTATTTATGTCAGTATATACTTGGTAAAAAACAAAAAATTCTTAACTAGACAAGGCAGATATAATATATAATTCTCCCTCTCTTCCCCCTCCCCCTCCCTTTCCAAATTCATCTGCTCTTTCCTTTCTTTCGTTACCTGATCCTTGTGGGAGCAGCTATGGCTTTGCCTAGACAAAGTGTTCAAAGGGGTGCTGAAAAGCTGAATCTCTAGAGATTATGGTTCTGAACCTTGACAGTGCAATTCTAGCAACCATGCCTGGCTTTCTGAATGGGAAACATTGATATTTGTAAAATATGTTTTTTTTTAAATCCTCCTCTCTCAGAGCTGCTTTCTTCCTTGCAGCATGTTTTATGTAACATAACAACAAGAACCCTGGAGGGGTGAGGGATGGTAATTTCCTGCCTAAGTATGTAAGATGCATTAGTGATGACAAAGAATAAAATTTTCACCTTAAATTGCTTGAATCAGGAAGGATAAGGCAGCTTAAGCAGTTGCAAGAGGTCCACCTTTGTTTCAGCTATAATCTATTGACTACTTATGCTTACAGGCAGGACGCAATTTAAAGGAAGAAGCCCAACAGTTTTCAGAAGGTGCTCTATAAAACTTAGGACAATAGTAGAATAAGTGTGTCTTACAAAAATGACTGATCCCTATTCCTATCTTGCAGAGATCCTACACTTTACTGGTTGAAGCCTGGGATTACAGCAATGACAGTGCTAGTAAGTATGCATTTCCCTTTTTGTTTCCTTTTCTGGAATTACTTGAGAGTAAGCAGTTATGATGGCATTACAAAAGATGCAGCCCTTCACTGTGTTGTGGCAGAGTTGCCGTGTGTTTCTTAATCAGAATAGTGTGCACTTATGAAAAAGGGAAGGCTGATGGGCGTATATTGGTCTTCTCCCACTGTGAGCCTTCTAGATGTATTGGGAGTATAACTCCCAGAATTCCTAACCAGCCTGCTGTGGTCACAGTGCATCTGATGGGCACCACCTTAGAGAGGACAGTGTAGAATATCTCCAGTCTTGGGCAGAATTTTGGGTGAGGTCATCATTAGAGGATACCCATATGATTAGATTGACCAGATAAAGGATGACAGATCCTTAAGTGATTATTCTGAAATTTACATTTCTGATAGACATATTGCTGCAACAATGGAAGGATTTTTTTTTCCTTCCCACGGTGGTCCTAGGTTGAATGAGAAGAAACCTGCTGTATTAGGGAGAGAATTTATTTGCCAGGAGAAGCACATCTGGACTTCTGGTCTATTGTTACATGGCTTGTAATGAGTGTTAGTAAGGAAAATGAGACAGAAAATTCTTCAGGATATTCCATTTTAGGCAAACTGAAGAGATTTTGAAGCAAATATAGAAAGTTCTTGTGGGAGTCTACTGGGATTGATTGACTCAGTTTGCCCCACTGGCACTGAAGATCCTTGCTAGGACAACTGTGGATGGTAACACTGAGCTGTGACATCACCATTTGCTAGCCAGCCTGCCTGCCTGAAGAGGCAGCTATACTAGCAGAGAGGAAGAGCTGGGATCTGGAACCTTAGTGATAGTCTTAATAAAACTTTGGAGAAAAGGAGGGAGATAGAGAAAATGAAGTCAGAAGAGGAAGCAGGGACAAAGAACAGGATAGATACTTTAAATATTTAGGAAGTAAAAAGAGCAGACAGGGAGAACAACTAGCAAGTAGGTATTGTGGGGCAGTAGCAGAGCCCCTGAATCCAGAAATCCTGTTCCCTGAGAAATCAGTAATTACTTCCCCTAAATGGCCTGTTTTCCTGAGAGTGGGATTCTTGAAGTGAGTATCTTGCCAATGAAGAAGGAAAACTGAGTGTCTTCTACCAGCCTTACCTTTGAATGTAACTTACAACTTGGTCTGGAATGTAAATTCTTCTCCAGCTGTCCTGTTCCTGCCATGACAGAAACTTACAGATGTACCACCTGAAAGTATCTGTTTTCCCTAGGGATGAAGCTACTAGCAGAGGCTAGGTTTATTGGGACCTAAGTGGCAGAAATAGAAGCCAAGAGATAATGAGGTAGGAATGTCAGGCTTTCTCCAGCAAAGTGAATAGGAATCTGGACAAAGACAAAGCCTTTGATCTCAGGTGGGAGATCTGAGAAAGAATGGGGGGAGGGAAGGAACATATCTGAAACTCCCTTGAGTAAGGCATAAAAGGCTGTCTGCCATGAAGAGTTAAGCATAACTAACAATCAAGATCAAGCATGTTGTGAAAGCCTACTCAGTTGTCTGTCCCTTGTCATTGGAAGTAGACAGTGGACAAAGCCCAGGAAACTCAGGCATATCCTTTGACCACTGAAGCCAAAAGAATCCCCCAGCACTATCTAAGCTTGACATAAGCAACTGGAGCATTGGTTCAGTCATTCTGACATACGGGATTGCGAATGCTGATCACTAGCCACTCACTATTCCATTTCTCAGTGGAACTCTAACCATCCAGGAATGAAGTTGGCAAAACCTCCAGAAGATCCCAGTTTATAAGCATATCTGAATTCATGAGTGAGGTAGCACTGAAACTGTATGTGTCCTCCTAGTTTTCTTTTAGAGAAATGCTCCTGCACAATCCTCCTTTTCCCTGGTAAACTCACAAGTGCTGATTCATTTATAAGAGTCTGTTGTCATTATGGTACTTTTCTCTGTGCACATTGCTTCTGTACAATGTTTATCTCATGTGCTTAGCACTTTATGAGTATGTTTTCATTTGGTCCACAGCATGATGCTATGTCATGAAACTCAGGTGAAGTCCTATGGATGGAGTAGGGGAACATTGGTAGCATATATGTCACCTAAATAGGTGACAGATACATTGCAAAGATAGAATGAACAACATCTGCAACCATTCTGGCTTTCCAGGGATAGCAAATCTGGTTCAAGGAAGAGGGGAAGTTTTGGAAATCCTTCCTTCATATTTGAGGCAACGTGGTATTCAGAAGCTTGCTATCATTGTTGCATCTTGGTTTGGAGACAGAAGCAAATGACTAATTCTTGCTGATTTAGGCACATGTCCACCACCACCAGCATACACTTTTAAGTCATGCGTGTGCCTCGTCTCACTGTTAGCACTGAGGTTGGATTGAAGTTCTTCTTGGGATCCCCCTTTCCAAGATAATATTCAGCTTTTTCAGACGGCTGGTTATAGCCAGCTCCATTGCTAAACATAGATTACATCAAAGTGATTCAGCCAGAGTACATACACTTCCATTTCACCAAACAGCTTTCCTAATGGGTATGAAATTTTTAAGGTACTTCTTTTCAATCTTGAGAGAAAACTGAGTTTAGGAATTGTTATTATCTCGTATAACTGTAGTTGGTGGGTGATAATGCCTTTTCTAAGAACACCTAGTAGCGTCAGAGTGAAATGTTTCCAGTTAACTACTTTACTACAACTGTGTTTGCTCTCTTTTTTGAAATTTACATAACTCTGCATAGAAACTACCATATATGAATTGATAAATATAAAAATAATACAAACTCCCTTTTGGAGGGAGGAGGAAAGCAGTTTAACAGTGAATTCATTGTGTAGGACTGCTTCTCATTTCTACCTATGCAGCCTTGGTCTTCCTCTCCCCAAATTCTTATGAAAACACTCCTCCAGAGAGAACTTGCTTGCTAATACTCAAGGTATACCTTACTATGGTGAAAGGTTCATCATGCATTTGACGTTATCTTCTGTATTACAAGGAGAGGACCAAGAACACTTTCCTTACAGAAGCAAGTGCATTTTGTGGACCCTGAAATTAGAAAATACAGAATTGGCCTCAGCATAAACAACGTATGAAAGAAAAGTAACTCTTATACAGGTGTTGCCACATTGGCTCTATTGGAGAAAGTCTGCATTTGAAAGAAGCTCTTGTTTGCTGGAAAAGCCCAATTCTTTTCATTCTGCATCTTGTACTATCTCTACTTTGAATAGATCTCATCTTTATTTCATGAAACAGAATGTCTGAAGCTTCACAATGAATCCTTTATTTGTTCGAACGTTCTGGAAGCAAAGTTGTTCACCCGCAAAAAGTTACTTAAAATACTTTTTTCTGAAAAGCATGTTTGACCAAGTTCAGATGGAGCTTTGCACTTATTCATGAGTAAACTTGCAATAGATCTGGTATTGCATAATTGATCACATCAGTGACTATGCAATGAGAACTTCCTCCTTTCAATATTATATTGTTTATCTGCTAGTACAAAATTTTATTAGGTCTCACAGAACTTTCTGATGAATAGATTAGAATACAATAATGGCATTGGTTCATAATTTACATGTGTTTTAAAAGAATAGGATAGATTAATTTATGTAACTGAAGCATTTTAAATTGCTTTTGGAGAAACAAAATTTAGACTGGATAACAAATTCACTTTTGTTAATTGAAGAACTAAATATTCTGTTGAAAAGTTTAGAATGCTGTTCCCTAAAGCTAAAGTCCAGAAGCCCTATTAATATCAGATTAAAGAGTGGACTTCCCCATTAATGTTTCAGCTCTCAGCACTTCAATCTAGCATAGGCAGTAATTGGCATTGGTTACTGGAAGAAGTAGTCTAATACATCTGGAAGATAGCTGTCTAGTCTAGCATCTTGTTTCTAATAGTGTCCAGTTGAAGCTTTCTGAGAAGCTCACAAGTAGGCATTAATTCAGCAGCCCTCCACAACAAATATTATCTTATTCAAGTCTAGGCAAATCTTGAATTTGTGTAAATTCCAGGATCTCAAAAGAACAAATAGAAATCTTTCTCTCTGTTCCCTTGATATGCTTTCCAGACATGGCACATGAAGAGCCTATTCTTGAAGAATAAGATTAGATGCAGGTATGGAATAGCTATGATTCACAAGTAGGTATTTTATTGGTTCTTTCTCTGAAGGCAGATGTATGATAATTTAAAGTACTTTTTTTCAGACCTTCAGATGGGAGCTGTCAAATGTACTAAAAGGATAGGCAGTCTGATGCCTGCTAGAAAATCAGCTGCAGTGTCTATACTGAGATTTGGATTACAAATCCCATTGGCCATGTTGGATAGGAATTCTGGGAGTTGCAATCCAACACATCCTGATGTACTAGACTGTAAAAGACTGGATCTGAAGATAGCTAGGAAAGGCCATTGGATGGTACTCTGTTAGCACTTGAACCTATAGCATTGGGCATTCTTCCCTTGGAGCATATCTTGAAGATCTCCTTTCAAAGGACACATCAGCCCCACAACAAGAGTTGTCAGGAGTTCTTCCTAAATGAGGCTGAGGTGATAAATATGAAAATTACAGGCTTCTAGAATCTTGTTGGAATGAGCAAGTCAACTAACAGTTGAAGGGAATGTATTCTGAGTGGTGTTAGATATTGTCAGTATATTTCCTAACAATTTAAGCAGCTCTTAGGAAGGCATTTTGAAGATGACGTACTGGCTGGTTCTCCCTACCCTGATCTCTATAATCTGTAAATCCAAGTGGATGCAAATCTATCTAAAACTGTTGAGGTCTCCTAAGAAGATTGGTTTTGTTTTAAAAAAAATGCATTCCACTTTCTGGATACTGTTAGATGCTTAAAGAAGGCCTTGAGGATTGATTTAGACATTGAAGATGTGATAGGATAATGCTGATGGATAATAATGACCTTATGAGTCTCTGAATAGGTATAGCTCCCTTCTTTCCAACTTGAGAGGATATAACGTACTTGCTTACCTTAACAAAGAGAAAAAAAATCTATGCAGCACAGGTTGAGCCCCCCTCTTTCCGTTAGGAAAGATTGATTGCCAAAGGTGTCCTGGGCTAGCAGTACAGAATAACTGCTTGGAAAATGCTAGAGAGTGAACCTGGATTTAGATATCGAAAGCTGAAAGGATCTTAATAGCCAGGCAACCCACTATAACAGACCAGATTGCAGTAGGGAGATTAATGATCCGAGCCTGTCTAAACTGTCTGCCATTTTAAGCAAGGAAACAGAATTTTATGTGGATGTTGACTTGCCCAAACAGCATAAATACATTCTGCAATGAGCTTAGCCAAAAAATTATTTCTGGAGGCTTGCATGCCCAGATACATCTCTTCTCTTCCCTACATTCCTATCAGTGTCCAATTGCTTTCATTTCTTTTTCTCCTTTTGATTCAAAGTGTAAGATTCCAGTGTGGCCAATGGCAAAATCTAAGGATCACTTTCTCTCTAGGCAGGCTGGCTTTATTTTTTACACTGTCTGCCGCCATTGGATTGCTAGTCATTAACCTTCCATTTCTGTGGCTTAGTAATGGCAGGTTTGTCAAGCTCTGAACTAATTTTCTTTGGATACTGCAAGCTGCCAAGGTGGGAGTGGAGAGAAGGACTAAAGGGTATGTGGAAAATCCTACCGCAGCTGGTTATATGAGTGCCTGTTTTTTCCTGTGTGGTGGCTAATCTGCCTAGTGATGCCATATACCAGGGCGGGGGGCAGGGGGGAGCATTTTACACATATAAGTTGCTTTCCCCCTGCCTCTTCAGAGCTTTATGTGAACATAAAGCTAAACCTGCAGACATGTAGGTCATACAACTGCAAGCAGCATGTTCCTGCATCCATGGATAAGGGATTTGTTGACTTGCATGTGTGAATTGGCCCTACAGGTATCGTCATTATTAGGGAAATGAAGTGTGCAACAATAGGCCTTTATAGTGCAATTTACATTACAAACTGCCCTGGAACAAATATTTTGAAAGCTGTTAGCTGAATAAGTAACTAGGTTTGTGTTCTGAGCATAACTGTTCTTCAAAAGAGAGGTATGATATCCTTGCAGGAGAAAGGATGCAAAAAATAAAAAATAAAAAATAAAATTAAAACAAAAAAATTAAAACAGCTCAGTTTTATCTAACTACTTTTCCCAAAACCATTTGAACAAGTATATGGGCATTCAGCCAAAACTGGCCTACAGTGGAGCAAGTCCAAATCTTATGCATAAGTATCTACCTGTCATTTTAAACTTCCAGCATACTTAAATTCTCAGCCAACCATTTTTAAGCTGAAGTGCCCAATCAGAATGTTTTTGCTGAAGTAGTATTTTAAAGACATTTAATAGTATTCTAGCTCTTTATTTCAGATAACTTGTAGATAACTAATATCTACCTCTGCAATGTTCTTTAGCTATTTTAAAAAAAAACCTGTAGATTTAGAATTGTCTAACACATTTCCGTGCTGATAATACTTTGGAGACTGTAAATGTTGCTAATATGTTTGGACCAAATGGTAAAATCAGGAGGTGTTTTAATAGAATATACCGCTATTCCACATTTTAATTGCAATTCCTCCTGCAATAACTCAAACGGTTTAAAAGCTTGATTGGCATTTAGTAGTTCAGAAGTATTAATGCCCCTATTAGCCCATAATTAAAGCAGCCTTTAATGCTGGAAATAGAACTGTGGCTAAAAATGGAGCAGAGCCTCTCCCACAATATCAGAAGGATCACATAATCCTCCCTGAAGCTCTTATATGAAAACCAAAACAAGGAGGCTGTCTTTCCCATAGAAAATGTCTTAATAACGTAGCAGTCAGCTTGAAATACCTGAATGGACTTTTGTCCTTTTGTATAACTTCATGGATTACATTTGGCATGGCTGTTCTGCAAACTAGACTAATTTCAGAAGTGATTTACATGCAGAAGTCCATGTTCAGTTTCTTTCAACTGAAGTGTTCTCAGTAGCTGAGCTGGAAGAAATTTATCACTGACATCCTGGGGAGTACGAAGAGTTGTAATTCACAATACTAGGCTAAATAGGTCTATCATCATCTAATCTAGTTGAAGGCCACTGAACACATTCATATGCATCATTGGTGTTTTTAGTCTGTAATCTGGTCAGGAAGGTTCATAACACAGTGGAAGGGAGCCTTCAGAAATGGTTGCTTTTTCAGTACACAACTAGGGTATTCATCTTCTCAAATTAATCTGTTGTGTATATATTAAGTAACCTGGGAACATTAATCTTTAGAAAGTGAGCAACCAGAAGTTCATAACTTTCTTTTTCATTACTGTTCCAAAATTCATCAAAACAGAAATTATCTTTTTAAAAATCATATCTTTAGGAAACTGGGCAGATTTTTTCTTTTAATCTGTCTTGTTTTACTGCCATTCTTATTAGTCCTGATGTCACCTTACTTATACTGC